ATGATTTGTCAGTGAATGAACATGATTGAAGAGAAGGAGCAGGACTTTGACAGGATGGAAGCTGCCTGAGTTCCTTTGTTCCAACAACATGAACCAAACGCTAACCTGTACAGGTTAGGAACAAAAACCCAGCAAACCATCAAGGATGGTCTCTGGAGCCAAGCTGGCTCCATCCTAGCTGAAGCTTCAAAGAGACCTACAACACGCACGCGTGACAAAGCTCCACCTGCTTACGTATAACCGGCAGGAAGAAACTCTATTCATAGTGCTATATTTCTAACTATCGCGTTTTGGCCCTTTTGGTCTGACAAATGGATTGTTTAAAACAATATCTATATATACCTAATTCAATTGTAATTTCATTCTATTTAGTTTCAGTTCTCATTCAACTCTACACGCACGCTAATTCAATTTTGGTTCAAACTCAATACTGATGTGGATCTAAAAACGCGAAACCAATTCCAATTTATACAACTCCATTCAAATCTACTTTCAGTTTGTAAAATGGAATTTAGAAATCATTTTCATTCTAATTTAATTCTTGGTCAATTGAAATTTGATTCTTGGTCAAGCCCAATTTAATCCCAGAGAGCAGGTGCTGCTGGGGGTGTGATTTTAATACAAACTGATGTAAATCATGCGGTTTCTTGCCCTGTGGGTGCTGGGAACTAGGTCAGGACACTTCTTTTGAGTAGACGGATAGACTTGCTCAAGGAATATTTGGAATAATCATTTCTATATTAAGAAGGCCTTGTATAAAAAGTTTCTATGTCTAATATGTTCCTCTAGATCTTTGGATTGAGCCCTTCTATAACAAATATTTTGAAGCTGCTAATTCAACTGTGTTCCTCTTCATCTCTGGGTTTTTTTTGCAATAAAAACTATATTTGAAAGACTGTTTTCCAAAAGCTTTCCTTTGTCTCTGAGGATAGTCATGCCCAAAGTTAAAAAGCATGTATATAAGCAGTTACTTTAAAGTTTACCTTTTCATTTCTGGAAATAACCATTTCTATATTTAAGAATGCCTTCCACATTGTAAGTGTTTATTCCAGAAGCTGTTCCCTAGATTTTTGGGATTGATCACTTCTGTATTTTTATTCTTTGAAGCATGCATTTCAAAAGCTGTCCCCCAGATCTTTGGGCATGATGATTTGCTTAAAGATTATATGAAGAAGCTGTGTATTTCACAAGAAAGGACCTCTGTGAATAAAATTTTCATATTAAAAACACTTTTGTAGAGTGAGTGTGGGTGAGAGTGAGGGTGAGAGTGAGTGTGAGTGTGAGTGAGCGTGCGTGAGGGTGAAGGTGGGTGTTAGTGAGTGTGGGTGAGAGTGAGAGTGTGTGTGTGTGAGTGAAAGTGGGAGAGTGGGTGTGAGTGAGCGCGAGTGTGAGTGTGCACTTCGAGGTCACCAAGTGCTGCACCGCACTTCGAGGTTCACGAAGCGCTGTACCTGTCACGAAATCTGCGCGTCAAGGTTCACCAAGCGCTACGCCTGCCACCAAATCTGCACTTCGAGGTTCACCAAGTGCTGCGCCTGCCACGAAATCTGCACTTCGAGGTTCACCAAGTGCTGCGCCTGCCACGAAATCTGCACTCCGAGGTTCACAAAGCGCTGTACCTGTCACGAAATCTGCGCATCGAGGGTCACACATTGCTGTGCCTGCCACGAAATCTGCAAACGGGCCACATGTCCAAAAGTCACAATTCACTGCACCTGTCACGAAATCTGAGCTTCTCGACGATCACCAACATGTCCGAAGTGCTGCACCTGCCACGAAAACTGCACTTCGAAGTAAAACAGCTCCGATCCCATGCACCTGTCACGAAAGTCGACTTTGAAGCACCACAGTCGCTAGAAGCACCCGCCGCAGACACCCAGATTCTGCGAGCCTGCGCCGTCGAAATGCACATGGACGATGTCGAGAGGCATGAATGTACTGTAAATAGCGAATTATCCGTTCACGGCCGCACGCTTCAGCGATCGAAGCACCAGCTGCTTTTCACCTACCGTAAGAACCCCTAGTGTGTCCACACTGTTTGGGGAATAAAAGCTATTGAGAAAAGAGGGTCAGAAAATTGCCTATACAAAGTGAATAGCGCGTCAAAAATACCACGAAGGTTTCCGCAATTTTCTTGCGAAGAGTTCTCCTACTGGCCCACCAAACATCATCTCCCTCGAACCATCCTTGAACAACTTGAATGTTAAGCAGGTTAACATCTAGGGCGACAACAACGCTTTGCAGCTAAACATGATTCATCAACTCTGGTGACGTTGGTGCACTGATGTTCTCCCAAGAATACTTTTCAAGCACTTGCAAAAGCCAGCGCAGCATGTCTGGAGACCAATGCTCCCCTGTCACGTCAATGAATCTGGAGAAAAAATAAATATATATATATATATATATTATATATATATATATTCCTATATGGCCTATGTTCTTGTGAGCTCCCGGGAAGTTTTGAACATCAGGATTCCGAATCCAACTTCTCTCCTGCTGCCCAGCCACAGGCACTCCGAGCCACGCGCGACGTGCCGTGGAGGCGGAGCGGAGCGGCGAAGCTGCGTGTCCATCCCTCTCGCCTTGGTCTCGAAGCGCTTGTAGATCTGCTGCCACTCCTCCACCCTCTCACTTGGCGTTCTGATCCCACCATGATGAGAAGTGTTCTCGATTGCCGAGTTGTTCCACGGGGTTGGTGAGTTTGAGTTTGGTGGAGTTTGAATGCTTTTTGTAGAGGTCAGAGGGTGTCGGTCATTGCGCCGGGTGGTTGTTTGGGCTGGATCGTTGTTCAGCTGCCCCGTCCGGGCGACGGTCTGACTGCATCCCATGTCGCTCTTTGTTCCGTGCGCGCAGACGCAACGCAAAGCACGCAGAAGGCCAAGGAAAGAAAGCATGAAATAACTCATTGCTCCTCTCTAACACTGGAAAGGTTGATGACTTCCTAGAGCTTTCCCAACTCGACATGTAGAGGAAGGGGCTAGGCTCAAGTGACTCACACCGATGGTCAACAACAAAGCTATCAACCACACATCCATGCCTCACCCACTGTCACGCTCTTGACCTTGATCCGCCTAATTAGCTGTCACAAGCACCGATGCTGCCTCCAACTTTCATCAGGAAGGTTTCTGCTTGGGTAAAAATCACGGCTGCCCTATCATGGTTCTTGTTCATGCATGCAAACGCATGTCCAGGCTCATGGCGTCCTGCATCAACGTGTTGACCTTCACAAGCTGGTCAAAGAACTCGACAAGGAACATTCCGCACATATTCTTGGCAATGGCAACGGTGATGATCTGCTTCTTGCCGTTGCTGGTCAAACTGATCCAGTATAGCGACCATTGGCAGACAGGCTCATTGCTGGGCTTACTCCCTTGAAGATCTTGCACACGGCCACATATTCAACCTTCTGCTCCAACCTTCTGGAAATTCTCATCTCCTTCAGCACCATCACGTTTGACCAACATGTTCTCGGACGGATGTCGTTTCTTTCTGTCCTTGTGGACTTCTTCCAAGCCTGCCATCTGGGTCACCTCCATGATCATCCACGATGACGCCTTCTATGGTCATCTGCTTTGAGTCATGAGGTCCTGGTTGAGGCCTCATGCCAGGCCACCTTCATCCACATGACGCTCCTCCCGGATGCACGTGGCCATCATGGCTATGCATGCTAGAAGACTTGGCAGCAGCATCCCCTGTGAGGGGCTGTGAAGAGCTCCACTACCATGACACAAACAGCCGCGTTGCTTTTATATCTTGAAGCCACTGTGTAGCGGAGTGCTCATGAGGAAAGATGACAGGTCTTATCATGTGTGCGTGTCATCCCTGTGCAGGACATTATTACTTACTACAGTGCACTCAAAGGTTTTGCAGGGCATGCTGTCCAATTAGGTAAACCCTCAAGCTGGACACCACGATCACCACCAACACGGCCACACCCCCATTTCAGGCAGCTCCACTTGGGCTTGGTGGAAGGGATTACTTCTGCGCCTTTCAGACTCGACTGGGGAGTGGAACTGCTGGTGAAACAACACCAACCCTCCCAGAAATGTGCATAGAAACTGAAACACCACCCAGTAGAGGAACTCTTCATCTTCCAAAACCCAAAGTAACGATTTGGCAGGCCCTCCATTTAGTTCAAGAAGTCAAACCACACAACCACCCTGAGTTCACGCTCTTCCAGCCACCCAAGCATCGATGCTTGGCCCGTTCGGTCACGCTCTCGTCTTCCTGGTCTCTTCTCGTACCCGAAAAAATGCCTGCGATGTAGGCTTCATTCTCTGGAGAAGGCGTGTGGAACTGCGTCAGCGCGCCACAATTGCCTGGCCAGGCGAAGGCCGCGAAGGCGGCAGGGGAGCTGCTTCGAAACGATTTTCGGAGACGGAGGGCTTCTTCGGAGCAGCTCAGCCAGACGTCATGAACGGGCATTGGGCCTTTGTAAAACACCACCACTGGCTTTGATGGAGCAGTTGCAGCGGCAAACGCACAGGACTATGGCCGTGCAGGGGCTAGATGGGTTGAGGTTCAAATCCAAACACAATCGTTCATTCATTGCAATTCCCTCCACCCAGGTGAGAACATGTTCGAATTCCTATGACTACGCATAGACTGATTTGCAGATGCGAACTCTGAAGCACAAAACACATTCACGAAGGAGTAAAAAGAGAAGTGTGCGCATCAAACTGGAGCAAGGAGCGCCAGCCAAAAGGCTGGTTGGTGAGTAGTCTATCCTTCACTACACCAATTTTCTCCCACCTTCGCAACTCGTCAAGTCTACTGGTAAATTACATTAAATTACTCTACCCTAAGAATCCGGGCCCTCAAACAGATAGGGTTTTGAGGCCCCGGACCCCTGCCATGGAGGGTCCGACCCCTGCCATGGACAGCCCAAGGATTCTTAGGGTATCAACATCACTGCCTTGGTCCTGATCTTGAGTACCTGCCACGTTGGCAATCTCTCCCTCATGGCCTTTGTGATTCGTCTGTCGAACAAACTTTGCTCATCACAACAGGCACCTTCTCCTGCTTGGCCTCTCTTCAGGTACAAACCACACACGGGCCACCGAGTGGCTGTGCAAAGTCTTGGTCAAGGGCCGCCGCTCATCTCTGCAGCAGCCTAGCGCCTCCCAGCGGTCCCAGCACGGGAAAGCGCCTGCTGACCCCTCCGACGTGTATTGCATGGAACAAAATTTGCCGGAGGGTCGATGGTGGGAATTAGGGAAAGTCCATCAGTGTTCACCCTGACAAACCTCGTGTGGACTCACAGCACTTGCTTTCAGCAAGTCTACTGAGGCCGACTGAAAACACCGGACCTAATTCGAAGGGAGGCTTTAGAAGAAAAACATGACTGTGAGGGCTGGCACGTAAAAAGCTTCATGATTGGTTCGTGTGGTTCCTCCTCACATGTCGAAAAGACAACCTCCTAGAAGTGGACAAGATCAGACAACCTCCTAGTGTGCTGATCTTCAGCGTCCCATCTGGGGGTTGAGTCACAAGCTTTTGAGGCTCTTGTTCATCTGCTTGCGGTGTTTCCATCTGGCGCCAGCACTTCTTCTAAGACACCCTTCTGAAACGTTCAATAGAAAGATCAACCTTGGTGGTAACCTTGGTCCACTTTGTATGCGGTCAATGTCCAACCCAGTTGGTTCGGCCATCTCAAGCGACAAAATGCTGTGCGGTTCACCAGAAGGTGTTTTGCCCTCGGTCAGACTTGCCAGGAAAAACAAGAAAAAACCTACCGTATATACCCCCATGAACAAGACTTGCTTCAGTCTCCACAAAAGGTGAACATCCTGCTTTTGGCGTGCCAAAAGAATCCAAAAGAGAAGTCTGACAAAGGTTTGAGCCAGGGGTCTTTATTTGGAGGCAATATCTACTATTGTTGCCCTCAAAATTGCATAGCACCTTTCAGGCTGTGTGCACACTGGTGGTACCTGCACGTCTACTGACGACAGTTTGATCATCAACAATTTGAACAAACAAAGCACTAATGAATAGTTATTGGCAGGAGTGTGGGAATAGAACATCTCTATACCTAAAAAAACACGACTTCACTAAAGAATGCTTCTTCTGTGCCTCGTAGAATTCCACTGCGATCTCCGTGCTGCTCCTGAGAAGTGTGAAAAAACGGATCTCCTTGGAGCACTCCACTCAGCCACCCAAACATACAAGAAAGCTGGTGGACAAGGTGCTCTGAGTTCTACCGGTGTTTCGAATAGGATTTTGCCAAAAGAGATGCCTTTTTCCCGAACTGTCCCTTGCTGCCTCTTCGGGTTATTCAAGGCGTGCTCAAGGTAAACAATTCGCAGGGAGTCCTCACAATTACTTGAGGCATCTGCTTATAGACCACTTGGAGGATGTGGTGTATCTATTGACCACAATTTGCACTAATTACATGTTGGTGCTTATAGATTATATAATATACATCATAAACACAATCTGCTTGTAGACCACTTGTGGTTCATGGCAGCTGTGGAGGAACAAATCTTGAACTGTTCAGCTCAGGTCTAAATCTCCCCAACGCTCTTCGCATAGGAGGTTAAACCGAATGTCCTTTTAACCTGTCAAATCCCAGTTGATCCGAGTAGCACGTTGAGGTTCAAGTGCTCAATCAAGAGGATCCCCATGTCCTCTCATGGTGCTGGGATTTCAAGCTGGGTGGTGTGACAGCCTTTCTTCGCAAAAACTGGAAAACCATGGGTAGAAAACAAACCTGTCGATTCTAACAAACCTGCCGGTTCTAGATGTTGCAACTAGTTTCATGACATGAGCACTTTGGCTTGGGGGGCTATACATGGCTATACCGATTCAGAAGAAAATCTAACTGACACCAAATGGTCCGCCGCGCACTTGGTCCACTCAGACTGGGGGTCAAACATCCAGGCTTGATTTGATGGGATGAGGTGCGGTTCACTTGGTGGTTGTTCCATCAGTATACAAAGAACGCTTAGAGTCTAGTCTGCACAACATGTTGAATCAACAAACGTGCTGAACAACTTAGTCGACAGGTCCTGTGCGGCCATGCTGCTCACAACTGCACCAGTGCGCGCTCGATGCCTGAGCTTGAGCAAAACTCAGTTCGTTCCAAGTCCAAAGTCCACCAATGCCCAAGGACCCGTGGAGGATCCCAAAAATCCCAAAACAACTCGAGTGCTTGAAACTGGCATTGTGATGTTCTAGGCAAATCCTCTTAGAATTGGTGGAGAAAATCCATCGGAAACCATGGTGCGAACGCCCCCAAACCTACAGGTGTCCTGTAGAGTTTCCCTTTTTTTCAGCCAATTCTGAGAAATTCACCAACATGACCCGCCCGTAGTGAACGTGTTGAAGACCGAAGTCTGCCGTGGCCGAACTCACCGAAGTCCACGTCCGCCGTGAAACGAACTCAAACGGTCCGTGGTCCGTGCAGAACAATAGGGAATCAACCTCAAACATGGAACCCCTTTCTAAATAGTACGCTCATTGGGCCAGGGAGGCCACTGCCAAGCTGAAAGTGAGCTCCAAAAAACAAGCTTGAAGATTCTGGCAGTTGGCTGTGTCTTAGGAACAAATTGCCCTCTCAGAAGCGCAATGCCACACCTTGTGTACCCCTTCCCCCTTTCAAAACATGGCACCTCCAAGCACTTCTCCAAGCCACCCTGGTCTCTGGCCTCTCACGAGCCCCGCCAGCACCCCCGCCGCCGCGTAGTGGCACCACCGCCGCCCGCCCCCCGCGCGGTCCGGCGCGCCGCTCTCGTGCGGACCGCGCGGACGGACGGTTCCGCGGGGCCGGACCGGTGCGGCGCCTGCGGAGGAGGGTGATGGTCCAGGAACCTCACCTCGTCTTGGGGTGAAGAGGATTGAAGATCTGCATCTCCCGATGGTCCGTCCAAAACACTAGCACTATAGCTATACTATACTCCCCCTCAGAACTTCTATAATGAATTTAATAGCTCAAGTCCCGAAAACACAAGTGGGGATCTGAGCTGAAATTCCTGAGTCAAAAAGGCATGGACCTAATAAATCCACTAGCATGATCATTGGGATTATATATTGATCTAATATGCCTTCTACCTGAAGGGCTGCTTCGTGGTGGGTTTCCATGCTTCTTCAACCAAGGGTAGGCCTAATGGTCACTCCTGTTAGGTTCAAATGTTCTTTCAAGAGGGAAACTCCCGTGGCGCATCAACCCCACACTTAGGCGAAGGTTCACAGAAAATCAGCCAAACAAGCAGAAAAGTTGCTTGAATACACAATGTTACTTTCTATTGGACTCGAGGGTTGTTTGCAGCAATATTTACAGCCTAGTTTGCTAGAAATACGAGGTGTACTGTATACACAATGTATTTCGCAACCCCTCTCGAGCATAGCAGTTGATCACTCCAATTTACGATTACTTGTTTTGATTCATCTCCAGGGCGATGTTCTCCTGACAAAGTTTCGGGACCCAACCAATAAACAGCATCCCTCCCTCAACCACTGCAGCTTATCCCACTTTCCACCTACAGCTGTAGCAAGGGAGCGTGGCTGGCACCACATGGAAAATTCAACCGCCCGGCGTGGCTCGTGAGCTGCGACTGTCTGAATCTTCCAATGTTGTTTGGCAAACTAGAACAAACCCCCTCTTTGGCAAACTCGCTAACAGGCTTTTGTGGACAAGGTGTCAGACTGTCTATCATCCCGAAACACTTGGTCGATCCTTCTGCTACTGGTTCTAGTGGATGATTGATGGCCAACTAACATGCCAAACACAGTGAAATAGTGTTCAGTGATCAGGCTCTACTGTCTGGGCCCAGCAATGTGCCAAAACATCGATCAGGGCCGTCAAATCCAGCCCCAGCAGGTCAAGCAAACCTGGAGGTCAAGCACCATCAGTTTGGGGAAATCAACGGAACCGACGTCAAGCTACACAGGAACCATCATGATCGCAAGGCACGGAACCGGCGGATATGTTTTCTTCGAGTGAACAAACCAAAGATGTCCTTTTAGAAAAGAATAGAGGGGTTGATGTACCCATTGGCTCTTCACTCCAAAGCTGTTTTTCTCCTCTATATACATCAACCAACCAATAGTTCTTTCGGCCCAGCATGGTCTCAGCACCATTCAATCGCATCCAAAAGAACAACAAACACAGCCATGGTGGATCGCTTCACGTCCGACACTTCCTCCACGCTCACCACACGCGGTCGGCACATCCCGAGTCGGCACATCCCGATCCAACCGATCCCCGCACCGGTCCTCTGGACACTCGACACCGCAGCCAGCTGGCGAGGTGTGGCGAGGTGAGGTTCGGCTGGCGCAGCCACGAAGCACAGGGGTCTATCGGACAGGGGCTCTACCATCATTGACCGGAGCCAAGCCGAACATCGTTAAGGTCAAGCACAGTTTGCCGGGGTGGAGCCCCTATAGTTGTTGTTGCTTTGGTTCGAAACACCATCTATTCACCTTGGACTGAGACTTGGACCGACACCTGCATGGAATGGAACCATGCGGTTCGACGTCCTCTCTTCCCACGTCTTGCAACGCATTTCGAGAAGGGAACCATGGCACCTGGGATCACAAACGCAACCCCAAATCATGCAGGAAACGGGTCATCTCCGGAGTGTCTCAAGGGCGATCGCCGAAAGTATAGTATGGAAACGAACAAGTACAGCTTCCAACCACTAAGTTCATAGGCTTTACCGAATCAACTAAGGATTTCATACGAATACCTGCTGTACACCGAAACTGTTCCTCGCATACCTTACAATGAGATGTAGGTTTCCCCATGAACGACCACCCCACACTAATGGGGAACAGTCCAAAAAGGTGGTGCTGCAAGGTCCCTCGAACAACCGGGCCTTTTGGTCACTAGAAGCGACCCCAACACTGGGCATTCCACTGCCCGCCATGTACCTTCTGTCGTGTCTGGATGTCTCCCGATCGTTGACCCCAACCCATTTGGCTCGCCGGGCGACGCAGGTTGGAACGAACACGGCCCGTCCGTTGAGCATGGCAACACACAAAACACCCACACACAGACACACATGCGCGCCTGCCAGACGGGCGTCTTTCTGGATGAACGAGATCCCCTCCGGCTCATCATCGATCAGCGCCAAGATATCCATCTCAGCACAAACATCACACGGTGGGGATCGGCACACGTGGCTCTTCCATGATCTTTGGCCTACTATATGGATCTATTAGCTGTATAGCCAAGATCTGTATTAGCCAAAAAGCATGGAGCTACAGTTCTATATAATAGCTAGATCTAAAATAGCTATATAGCCCATTCAGGAGCTTGAATTCCTCGGAGCAACAAACCGAAGTTGCCAGTTGCCAGTATGTGGCTGTCATGGCACGACTCAAACCCGGAGTCTTTTCCCCGCGAAAATGACCAGAATGACTATCTTAGGAGGTCAACCTATAGATCCCAGAAGGCTGGTGAAAGGGGATATTCTATGGATGCCATGACCGAATTGGAATCCTCTAGGTCCGCAGGCTGTCCAACATGGCAACCATCGGCAGCGGTACAATGGCAGCACAGTCAACCCCTCGCGCAGTTGACCGTCCCGCGGCCTCTTCATCAATAGGCTCCCATGCGGGCTTCGCAAAGGTGTGGACCTGCAAAAAGGACAACTGTTTGCTTCGGCACGAAAGGACAAAGGCCAACCGGTCTGTTCACGTGAACGAAAGGTAGACTTCTCGTGTTCATGGAACTGTTTTCTGCAGTCCACGGGTCTGTCTGCTACTGGTCAATGTGGAAAACTTGAATGTGGGCCTCAGCCTACTTGGAGCCAAGTTAACTTTGGTAGAAGTGAACCCCACTTTGACAACTGGATAAACCTTGGATTCAGCAGGGCAGTCAAGGGTATTTCTGGTTCTTTCTTTCCCTTCCAACTTCGTTGGGAACTCTTAACTAACATCCTAAACCTCCAGCTCCCACAGGAATATTCAGTTGTTGCGCCCCAACATGTCTTGATGAAAAGAAATTTGAAGGTGTCGAGATCCCGAAAAATATTCCTCCAGCCTGACCTCCAGTTCCCAACAGCTGTGCGTTTTTCCCCAACATCCTGAAAAACACGAGCCGCGAACCCTTGCGAGGGACGTATACGAGGTGGGCGGCCAAACCACGGGCGACTGCAAGACCTCTTGTTGAAACTTAGCATTGAGAATATTGTGAGGGTCATACACCCTATCATGGCACCACTTAGCGCACCTAGCCTTTGGAGGTGCATGACACAACTTAGCCTTTGGAATACATGTGCCTCTCAACACCCATATCATCGCACTAGTTCAAATCTGCGCCTGTTTCGAAGCCTTCAGCAGTCAACCGTCCAATATCAACGAGAACACGACATTACCTCCAATCACGACAGTCTGTCAAATTGTTGTCAACGAACAAAGGACAACTCAATGGACAACAGCTTTGTTCAAGTGGGATGCACGCCAATAGCACCAAGCTGTCAACGCTCGAATTATCAAACCATCGACTCTGTGCATCAACTGGTGTCACTTTCGTCGCCTGCAATATGAAGAACCAAGCCAAAGTCCACAAACAACGCATGGAGCGTCTGCCTCAGTTTGCCGTGGCATGTGAAAACATGTCCCTTCCCTGGCAGGATTTTTGGTTGGAACACATCACTGACCAGTCCAGCCACTTCGATACGACATGTTTCTCTAGCAACCCAAAAAACTGCAAGCCCATTCCACTTTGGTTCCAGCGAACATTGTCATTGCCGGATTTTGCCTCCATCCGCATGCTGGAGTTTCAGGTGCGCCAACAATGGCACTACAGTACCATGCATGCATAGCCACAAAAAAAATACTTCGCAATTCTCTCAGCGCCTCCCGTCTCAATTAAATGAGAAAACACGCTTGGCCCCCCAGCGACTGGCAAGGGAATTTCTTGGAGGACATGCTGTGAGAGCCGCAACGTCACGATGCGCAATATGCCCAACTTAACGCACACACCGCAACACCCGGTCACAAGATACCCTAGCCGAACATGGGAAATGCCTGAACCCAGCAGCCATCCGGAGCCTGCGTGATTCATACCTTGCCTTCCGACAGGCCTACAACTGTAGCCTAGCAAGCCAATCTTAGTTCCTATTTGGTGCGTTTTCCTTTTCAAATGTCACAAAGATTTCCATTGCACACGCTATCGTTTGCGCAGCTAAGACTTGGCAGATAGAGCGCTACAAGAAGAGCGGTTCTCTGTGGCAGCTAGTCCCGCTGGAACACTTGCCCCTCAGAGAACTAAAAAAAAACATCGTGTGCAAATCAAGCAGCAAGTCCCATCTAGTTCGCAGGTGCCACAGTGACCGAGGGGCAAAGCTTTCCATCACAAAAGGCCACACGTGAGACAAACTCTGCAAACGGCAGGAGACCGAGGAGGCCATCGCTGCTCCGTCCTCTCAGACCACAGCTGCGACTGCTCCGTGAACCAAGAGGAAGAACTTGTCACCTCAGAGGTACGTGGCCATTTGAATGGACTTTTTAGAATGTAGTAATATACTGTTTCTTGGAAGGTGTTGGTGGCCATGATCACAATCTTGAGGGATGGATTTCTAGTTCCTTATAGTTCCTTACTTGTTCTGAGGCTGTCTTATGTGACCAAAAGGGTTGTGCCATGATCCATCTCTCGAAAGGAATTGGGATTGAATTGGTTTCATTTCTAGCCGCATGCCTAAAAAGTGGTTTGCTGGGCAATGGTTATGCTACAAAAACACCGAAGAACATCATCTTACTATATCAACAGCGTCCTCTTGACTGACAGCGGTCAATGTACTTGTGACACGAACACTCTTGCTGCATGAGTTCTCCTCTAATATACGATATGTGTCTTGACGGCAAACAAAAAGCATCAAATGATATCAGATGACTGTTGGTAGCGAAATGAGGTCCTCCACTGAAACGAAACCTAGTAGAAACCAAGTAGACAAATGAAAGCAAAAAGCCCCCTCGTTGCTTGGGATCCCTCTGGATCCGGAACCAACCGTTGAAGCCCAAACATGGGGAGCACAACGACAGGAGCAAATCATGCAGGGTGAACAAAAGGGAAACCCCAGAACTATGTGAGTGCCTTTAGAATATGGTTCCCTCCTTCCAGATGAGTCTGGGGTGCCTGTGTTCATCCGGAAGTCTCTCCCAAGAATGCTTAGGGAGGTCGGTTCTGAGTAGTAGCCAGCTTTCCAACGCACACCCACGTTTTGGTCCCGATGCTGTCCGACCCACACGCGGAAGCCGCCTGAGAGCCTGATCAAGCCTGGGATCGCACCAAATCATGTCGACCGATGATGCGTCAACGACCCCAGCCAAAAAAACTCAACAACCCCCAAAATCCATGTGCAAATGCGAGACTACGGTAGAAGTTTTTTTTGTAGTTCTTTTCGCCGAAGCTTTCTTCATGCACACACAGCGAAAAAACGGTGTCGATCTGGTCTACACGCTTGAGGATGGTGCGACAGAACAAACTCAACCCACTCACCAAGCGACTAAGGGTTCCGATCCCGCTGATGCGCCAATCTCTGCTGGTGCGCCACGCAGGCCTATGGGCGCATCGCGTTCAAACATCCGCTCTAAGCTGCTGCTGCAGCCCTTCTGCAAGTTAGCACAGAAGGGACGGCAGCAACTCCAATTCATGGTATCGTCAAAGAAAGGATCTGGATCACATGGGTGAAAAAAACAATCAAAACTAATCAAAACTGTGCTAGGACAGGAGGGGCATCATGTCTGAACTGGACAGATCAAAAAGAAAGAACTTGTTTCACCCTTTCACGGCTCACTCAGCCAAGTATCATCATGACAGTCCAAACTCGACTCCAGTCTACCACCTGCTCGTTGACGTTCAAGGATTCAAGGACCCAATATCATTGGGGCTTCCGGGCAAGTGATCTTCATCAGGGGATGACTGTTGGAGTTCTATGTCAAGCTAGCTACCTGGGTGGCAGCGACATCGTCCGACCAGACCTAGCAAAGCCAAGTCAGTGCCGACCTCGCTGAGAGATTTGGACCGGTTCATATCTACATGGATGCCAGACATCCCACGCTGGCAAGGACATCCCACGCCCCCACCTCATACAGGTAGATTGAACCGCAGAACTTCGACATCCACAGTGCGGTTCTGGTGTCTTGCCTATGTAACTCTGTTTTCCAGGAGTAACATGGAAGCTGAGCATTCCAAAAGAGAAAGAGAAACGCTGACATAGCGAAAGAGAAACCTAACATAGAAGCCGAAAACAGGAAAAAAGAAACGTGGCTCAGGTTCCTGGGAAGCCAACACTCTTGCCTGTTGCGAAAGGGGGGCCAATGAGTGAGATCTTGCAGTACTTGGGAAAACCCATCGAGTTTGGAATCTTGATGATGTTTTTCCACTGCAAAAAGGAGGGGGAGGGTTTATCCTTCAAGTTCATGTCTCCATCTCCATCTCCGTTCACGTGGTTTCTCAGTTCATGTCCATCAAACCCTCCCGGGTCCTCCTCTGACCACCCCGTGGGCGGACGGACGGACGGGCTCGATCCCGACGGCCCGGGATCGAGCCGACGTGCGTCGACACCCTGAAACGGGTCGTCCGAATTGGTTTCGGATCCCTTTTTGGGCGCCTGAAGTCAGGGCGGGTCGGATGGTCCACCTATGTCCACGTCCACTGAGAGTCTCCTGAGCTAAGCAGTCACAGAAGGGGGAAAGGCGACGACAACAGAAAACGAGGTCGGTCCCAAACGCTCTGCCTCTTTTGGTCCCTTTTTTGGCTGTCAAAAGGAAACGAGATCGACGCGAAGTCAAGCGTCAGAGTTGTCATTCAGTTTGTCACCCCACGAACCAACAGCGTGGAGGGACATCCGTGCAAAAGGACCCTCGCTGCGTGATTCCTTCTACCATTCAAATTCCTTGATGGACTTGCAACAAATGGACTCGACCTCGCGCAGACGGAACTAGCCCGCTCAGCTCGGTTTCAGCTGAGCGTCTATCTATCTCTTCTTCGGCCACTTCTTTTGCGATCGCTTCTTCATCGATCGGGTGGCAGCTCTTGGAGCCTTCATGGAGGGACGTTGACAGCTGTACGTCATGCCCTTGGAGCCACCTTTGGTCGCTGGAATCTTCTGACAGGTCAGACCGGTACCACAAACACTGTCCACGTCGCAGGGATAGCCCTCCGGCTGGTTGATGCACCATTGGCGACTGAAATAGGTCTTGTAGGAGTCCTTCATAGGGGGGGAATCAGCAGGCACGAAGAAGGAACCAAACTTCTATCGCATGTGGGACTGTCAATTAAGAAGGATGACCACCTGACAAACCAGGTGTTGGCACCTCCTCAGTTGTGAACGAAAACATTTTGTCGAAAAGGTCAACAGGGATCCTCCAGTGTGTGTGTGTGTGAGTGTGGCGCTGTCCTCTGTAATGCAGCACTGCCATTGCCAATCTGGATACCCAACCCTAGCGCAGGCCTTGGTCGTGCACGCTGAGTGCTGATTGTCACACAAATCGCCCGGCTTCAAGGCTGCCTCCCGGCAGAAGGAATGCCCTTCCGTGCCCGACTTCGCGCAATAAAGCCCTTTGGCGCAAACCACGTCATCGTCGCAGTCCCAATCCTTTGGTTGGTCCAGGCAGTAGCTGCCGGATGCACCGTACCATTTGTAGGCATCCTTCTTCGCGCGTCGTGCGACGCACATATCGCACGCCGCTCGCGCGTGCTCTTCGCACGAGGCTTCAGGGATTGAAAAACGGTGTTTGCAAGAAATGTCTGAACGTGTGGCTTTCGGTAGCTTTCACCAGGAGGGCGAACAGAACATCGACCGACTATATGAAGCGTGCAAGAAAAGCCTATACACAATAACCAAGCAGTCCTTATCCACGCAGCAGCGTTTCTTGCGCACCCCTTTGTTGCCACTCCAAGCACACGCGTTCATCAAGCAATCCCCGTCAGCACTGCACGATTCACCTGGTTCCTTGCCGCGTGCGTTGAGTTTGAAGATCTGGGAGAACTTCACCGATCTGCTCCTCATGGACCATGGGAAAACGTTCCAAAGCCCGGACGATTTGAAACTATGGAAAAGTATGGAAAAGTGGTTTACCCAGTGGATCCCAGTTCCCACTATATAAGAAACCAGCGATTCTAGGTCTATGGTCTTAGTCTTTGGAACCACTGGTTACCAGCTATAGTGGTAGCTGGATGCCCTGGGTTATGTTTTAAACGCGGATCTGGAATCAGCCACTCCCTCCAGTCCTTCTAAGACATCCCGGGCAACTGCAATATCCGCTCGCGTCGCAGCAATTTCCATCGCACTCGTTGCGGTGCGAGAAAGGTCCAGTCCAAATTCCGGTAAAGCTCTCCGGAATCTTGGGGTGACGATGCCCTTCTGCATCCTTCAAGCCAGGGTACGTCCACTCATCCACGAAGGACACGATCTCTGGGTTCTGCCATGAACTCAATTCCGGATCACCGTCATTGCGGACCCGAGCATAAGGATTCACCATCAGTTTCTTCCAAGTCTGGCGATAGTTTGGACTGTTCTCAATCCACTTTCCGCCAGACACGTCCATGTCCACTTGAACGATCCCCTCCCACTTCACGGAAGTAACTTCAACCCCTCCTGCAAGGTTCTGGGAGAGCGTTCTGATCCAAAGCCAAACTTGGGAAACGACCATACAGAAACCAGGATCCAGAAGCTACGACTCAGAAACCATTCAACACCGAAGCAATGCGATTTACAGAAACGCTGCGATTGACAGAAAGAAAGCCAAGGATGACGTCGGGAAGCACCAAGGCTCAAGGACCAGGTGAAACATCAGAAGAAGCTATGCCTGTGGCCTTCGTGATCCTGAAATGCCTTGCTTCAGTGGATAGACCAGAACGTTCGGACCCTCTAGTGGTACATATGGGATGGGCTAGGATGGCTGTTGAACCTCTCTTGGAATGGATGGGTGAAAGGGTGTTGCGGAAGTGCGGGAGCTCCGTTTTCGGAAGCCGGAAGGACGTTGAGTGGCAGTGGGGGGACTCGAACATTGCAACATGTTTGGAGAGCCGGTTTCACCTTCAACGACCAGGTCCTCTGTGCCTGGCAGACGTTCCTTTCAGATTCCACCTAAGAAGAATCAGTGCACATCAATGCACCCAGCACTGGATCTTGCCATACACTCACTCACTCACTCACTCACCCAGTGGCTCGCTGAACCCATGACGCCTTGGATGGTCCTGTCCTTGACCAAGGTGGGAGGACACGCGCCAGCCGAGGCCCTTCACCTGCGTGTCCCAGACCTCGAAGGCATTGTCCACCATGTCTTCGAGGTGCTTCCGGGAAGCGACCTCTCAGCGAGGCATTGTCCAACGCACGGCACGGAACGAGGTCAAGAACGAAGGAACGAGCGAAACGAAGGAAGGCACCGGAAAAAAAGAAAAAAACACACATGTACGGAAGAGATCCATAGCAGGGCTGCGTAGAAAGGGAAGGAAACCAAAGAATCAAAACCCATGTTCCTTCCATTTGGACACACTAAGGCTGAATGAAACCCATGTCAGATTGGGGCCGATACCGTCGGCTCAGAAAAGGAAAGGAGCCGATACCGTCGGTTGGTTTTCCTCGGATCACCCTTGAGGCCCACATGGAACATTGAAAAACCACTGGGTTGTAGAGGACTATCATCTTCCAGAGCTCCACGCCGGTTCCAGGTGGGTCTCGGGTTCCCCGAATTCGGCGCACTTCTACGTTCACGAGGATGCCCCTCTCGCCTCTGGACAATAGGAGACGTACAAGGAATAGCGTTCATCCTCTGTGAGGTGTCCCAAATGCGAGCGGATATTGACCGATCGTTTCCTGCGTCGCGCGTCGACCGACGGCCGGATGTGCGATCGTCGGCCCGACTTCGTTGACGAGGTCGACGTAGACGTGTTCGATGACGTGAAATGAGGTGACAGGTAGTCTATGGCATATGACAAACTACGATCCTCATGGCTCAAGAAGCAACTGACTTATCTAGTTTAATGGTAAGTACAAACACAGTGCTGCAAGAGCCCTACGGTCCCATCGAGAAAGGACCATCAAGAAGTTTCTCCCCACCGCGCGACTGTGCCTATTTTCTTCGGCCATGTCGTGCAAGAATTGTTTGGCTGGACTGCTGCGGAACTTCAGCTTCATTGCAGCATTCAAGTTGTCCCTGAGTGAGGCGATCGGGACTGAAGAGGCTAACACCTGCATAGTCGTCTCAAAAAAGAAGGCAAATACAGCAAAAGAAAACGGCATGTCGCTGACCAATCCAAGACACATGCCGATCTTCGTCGTCGTCTTCTCCGCGGCGCTGATGACATACTTCATCATGTCCTGCGCCACCGCCTGATTCAAATTCTCGATGAGTGAGGAGGATTTCAACGCACCTGACACCGGAGCAAAGAGCGCGCCCAAGCCCAGCTCCAAGAAAAAGCTGACCCAAGGATCTGGCAGATTCTTCAGCTTTTGCATCTCTTCCTTGGTGATTTTTTGAGGGAACCAGTCCCAAGAAAGCCAGTCCGTGGGACGAAAAAAACTTTGCCAGCAACAAAACTCGTAACAAAACACATTTCACCATGCCAAGTAATTACCAACGTTGCCAACGCTTCATTCCTCCGTACCCAGTATACCATCGTTGTGCCAAGTCTCCACTTCACGTTCCTTCGAGGCCAACACTGCCGACAGGGCGGTCTGGTAGTCATTCATGAGATCACCGATGAGCGCGACGCGCACCGTCCGGAGCGTCTTCTCGTCCAAGGGCACCAACTTCCCGGTGGCCTCGTCCAGGCTCCAGCGCGTGGCCTCCCAGTTCTTCTCGATGTGCGACCCATTTGGGAGCTGGGCCACCGCCGCGCGGAGCCCGCAGAGGTGCTCCCCATCGGGACACGCGCGGGGATCCCGCGCGCCGCCCGCGGAGGTGGGCGACCCCTCAGCAGCCAAAGGGAGGGTGCCAATTTGTGGGTCAGCCAGGCGATTTGGAGGTGTGAAGTTGACATTGATCTATCAGAAAATCCATGAACTTTGTCTAATTTAATTACATGAATTCAGTCACATATCTACGGACACTGTGATGGACGTTCGAATCCTGATGTGAATCTATGGCCACGAGACGTGATTGGCTTGATGCTGAAGCAACGCCAAGGGCTCACAGCTCGCGTTCTCCGTCTCCGCCTTTATTCGGCAGAAGAAGGCCAGGGCCACCAAACAGAATCGCAAGGCACCACTCAGCATGTGACGAGAGCATACGAGTGTTTCGGTCGCACATTGGAGCTGACAGGAGCTACGGGCAAGAAAGGATGCGTGGCTGCATTCGTCTTAGTCATTGATTCACACATCGTGATCGTGGCTTTTTCTCTCAAGATTAGGACCTGGAAAATCGTGGTACGCCCAAGGACATCCAGTAAGTATGATGCCCATCTGGAGGCCCTCCCATCTCAGGATCATACCATGCCAGGATAAAAACGGGATGGCAGATTGAAATCCGTCGGTATCGGCACTTTGATCAAGCTACCTGGTTAGGAGCAATACACTTACGAAAAACAGCCATAGATGCTGAAAGTAGAGTGGCTTGAGTCGACCGGTGGACTCCTTTAGACCAGCCCACCCCGGGGCCACCTCGCAAAGCACAGGCCGGCGCAGTCCCAGCCACGAGCCTTTGAAGGAGAGAAGGAGCACCAACGGATTTGCCCCCAATCGATGATCAACTGCAAAGGGTCACCGACTGATGTGTCGACATCGGCATGAAATCAAAAAGAACAGGGCAACCTTGAAGAGTTTGTTATGTTGAACACATCAGAATGAAGATTCAGAATGTTCGTTTTGGATTGTTTGAACTGTTTGTTCACCAGAACAGATTCAAGAACAGTTTGTTATGTGTGTTTCAGAATGTTGAACAGGGGTTTGTTATGTTTCTTAGATAGACCTACGGCGCCGACGGGGGCGAAGACCGGGCGCCCAAAGCATCGATGTCACTGAACCAACCGGGAGTGGTTCGCCTTCGGTGCCCCCGCCACGGTATCTGACCCCCTGACCCCACTCGAGCGAAGGAGGCCAACCGATGGCAGCCATCCGTGCGGGTCCTTTCTCCACATGAAGGTCCCAAATTCACTGAATCACACTGATTCACCTAAAATGTGAATCAACGATTTATATAGTACCAGGCAACATGTGCTGGGCAACTGCAGTTCAGCTCTGACCAAGACTGCCGAAACTCGGCTTCCTCGCCTTCCTACCAGCACTGGTGACCATGGTCCGTTCCGTTCGGACACCTGTCGAGGACAGCGGCGGTTGCTGGGAGCTTTCGGAACGACATGGAAGGACCTGCGAATTCAGCACAAGTGGTCCAACTTGCTTTACTTCTCATATGGACCTGGGTCAAAACCAGAGACCTTGGTTGACCACCAAAAATCAACAGAATACAGGTCAACCTACCAGCTTTAGGTTTTGACTCACAGCCATATTATGCCAAAAACGAAGGCTCTTTCGGGTGACCTCAAAACCCTCTAGTTGACCACCTCATTGTCTTCTTCGTCTCTTCTTCATGTTCGGAATGAGCCACTTCGTCCATGGGATATGTCATGATGTGCCATGTGGGTCAAACACGGATCTGTGGGAGAAAACGCATTATGGTCGACCGTGTTTGGAACCCAATGATGGGATGGTTCACATGTGTGGCCGCACTTTCCCAAGCTGACTGCTACCAGTCCACCGATCTGCACCTGCCTGCTCCTGTCCCCCCCTGGCTTTTAAGTCAATTATATAAATCGGACCATCGTTGGGTGAGCGTTGGCGAAGCCGGCCAATCTCTCCAAACCAAGGCAACATCGCGACCCCAAGAAGTTCGCAGGACATGAGGACCCAACCTCGCACGACCCCAAACACCCCGTTACCACCGCACGACCCCAAATCGTACGATCCAAAAGAGCCGAGGGCCCCCAGGACATGAGTTCGTTTTTGGAGTTCCCCCTCTTGGTCGGGTCGTTTTTAGGGGCCGAGCGAAGGGCAGCACGCAGCGCACCAAGTAGGCCCACGAGACCACCGAGCGTCGACGGGAGAACAGGGGGGGCTTTGAAGTATTTCATTTGTGACTTGCCCTTGTTTCAATGTACTTGCTTCCATGTTTCAGTGTTTCACCAAGTACTCCACTTGCTTCACCAAGTATTCCAGTGAACTCGGAGCACGCAGCACGGAACTCACCCATTCACTGACACAGCCCCTCGCCGTTCGTCCTACTCCTTCACACGACCCCTCCCGGGGCACCCCCCGGTGCCCAGGAACGAAAGGTACCACAGAGGGGGAGCGACCTTAAACAAGACCCGCGCCGCAACCTGGGGTACCGGTTGCGAGAGGAGTCGAACTAGGTTGCGAGAAAAACGTACGGCCCAGTGGATGGTGGGGGGTTCCAGGCGGAAGGTAAGTCCCTCAAAAAGTGATCATGGTTGACCGACAGCTCTACAGATAAGGACGGAGACCCCCGACAGCTCTAGGCTTCGGAAAATAACCACCGTGGGGTGTACCGGTCAGAGGTCGGAAGGTGGTGAGCGCAGGTCGCCACGAACCCGTCTGGTGCGGATGTGCTGTTTACAGGTTGTAGGACCACTGAAGATCACAGGCGCTGTTCAACAGGCAGACTGAAGATCCTAAGATAAGCAAGGGGGAACGGAGATGTGGCAAAGCGTTGTAAAACCCTAGCAGCCCAAGTGGCGCTTTGGCCAAGCAAGTAGCCCAAGTTAGCTGGCTGTTGAACCCGCCGTCGGTCCGGCTATCCTCATACAAATCACTGTCATACAGCTCGACGAAACACCAGGAATTGGGACTGGACAGGCCAGGAAGAATCCATGCCCCGACTCACAGCCCCAAGCTCTCAGCACTCCGCACCTGAGGTAGACCAGCATCGTATCTGCTGAAGTGAGAACGCCCGCCTAGACAGAGAGCGCCGGGATCCCATAGGATCTAACGAGGGATTCAATTGGGTTGAGCGATTTACAGCTTGGGTTCAAAACCACCAAAGCAACACAAACAATGAAATTATATAAATACCACTCCCCAAACTTGGCCTGGTCTAAACCAAGGCTGCCCTGTCGCAAAAAGGGGAAGATGAACAACAATAGTTTGCACTTTGCGTGGGAAACCCGTCGAAATTCGGGGAGGGTGGGTCTATCCTTGGAGTTCATGTCACAATCTCCATATCCGTGTCATTTCTCTTACACCCAAAATCTGGATTCATCAGATTCTTGCAGGGAAAAAGAAGAAACGCTTCAGCTCCAACTCTACGATGCCTTCCGAAACAAATGAAGAAAGACCGACCGGTTCGCTCCACCGCGGCGGTGACCAAGCCGCGTTCGTCGTCCGCAACAAAGCGGTGAACAAAGCGTTGCCGAAACCGAGGTCGGTCCCAAACGCGCTTAGGAAACCTCTTTTGAAAGCTCTTCGGCTGGCAAAAGGAAACGAAATCGCCGAGAAGTAAGTCGCGAGGCGAATCCCACAAATCAGCAGCATGTTGGGAGAACGATGTGCATGGACAAGCTACACAACACCTAATGCTTATATTCAAAAAGATCGTCATAATTAACACTTGCTGATATAGCTGCGTGATTCATTAGCTATAGTCGCAACAAATGGACTCGACCTCACGCAGACGAAACTAGCCCGCTCAGCGTTTCAGCTGAGCATCTAAGCGCTTCTTAGTGCAACCGCGCGACGCTGACATCATGGAAGTTGACAGCTGTACTTCATGCCATGATATCCACCCTTGGTCGGAGGAATATACTTACATTCCAGACCTCTAGCGCAAACAGCTTTGACGTCGCAAGGGTAGCCAACCTGTTGGTTCACGCACCATTGGTTGAAGCCGAAAGACGCATAATCGTCCTCACAGGAATCATTCCAAAAAAAAAGATGTTTTTTTTTCTATGTGAGAAAACCCGAGCAAAATCACACCAGCTGAAAACCAAGTGTTGGCACCTCATGTTCGGAAACCGGTGGTTGAAAGTGCGGCAAGTCTGGACATCAACAGAAGTCTGGCTCGGTCCTCGCTGACGCAGCACTGCCATTCCCAATTGGGAGAGCCAACCCTAGAACACTTCCCTGTCTCGCACAAAGAGTCCTGATCATGACAGAGACCACCTGCCTTCAATTTGGATCCTGGCTCC